AGGAGGCGGAGACAGCAGCCAGGTGCAAGAGCAGCTGAGGAACGTCCAGAGCATCCAATCAACGATTGCTGCTTTTGCTGCCATTCTTGAATCCGGGTCTGTTGTCACCTGGGGCAATCCAGAAGAAGGCGGAGACAGCAGCCAGGTGCAAGAGCAGCTGAGGAACGTTCGGAGCATCCAAGCAACAGCCGGTGCTTTTGCCGCCATTCTTGAACCTGGAACTGTTGTGACCTGGGGTGATCCAGAAGAAGGCGGAGACAGCAGGCAGGTGCAAGAACAGCTGAGAAACGTGCAGCATATCCAAGCAACAAAGTGTGCTTTTGCTGCCATTCTTGCATCTGGGGCTGTTGTGACCTGGGGTAGTCCACAACATGGCGGAGATAGCAGCAAGGTGCAAGAGCAGCTGAGGAACGTTCAGAGCATCCAAGCAACTGACGGTGCTTTTGCTGCCATTCTTGAGTCTGGATCTGTTGTGTCCTGGGGTCATCCAGACTGTGGCGGAGACAGCAGCCAGGTGCAAGAGCAGCTGAGGAACGTCCAGCACATCCAAGGAACTTATCGTGCTTTTGCTGCCATTCTTCAATCAGAGGTGGTTGTGACCTGGGGTGATCCAGACTGTGGCGGAGACAGCAGCCAGGTGCAAGAGCAGCTGAGGAACGTCCAGCACATGCCAGCAACTTATCGCTTTTGCTGCCATTCTTGAATCTGGGTTTGTTGTGACCTGGGGTCATCCAGACCTTGGTGGACACAGCAGCCAGGTGCAAGAGCAGCTGAGGAACGTCCAGAGCATCCAAGCAACTGGCAGTGCATTTGCTGCCATTCTTGAATCTGGCACTGTTGCGTCCTGGGGTTTACCACAACGTGACGGCGACAGCAGCTACAGCTGAGGAACGTCCGGAGCATCCAAGCAACTGACCGGGCTTTTGCTGCCATTCTTGAATCCGGGTCTGTTGTCACCTGGGGCAATCCAGAAGAAGGCGGAGACAGCAGCCAGGTGCAAGAGCAGCTGAGGAACATCTAGCACATCCCAGCAGCTGAGCATGTTTTTTTGCCTTTCTTGAATCTGGGTTTGCTGTGACCTGGGGTCATAGACTGTGGTGGAGACAGAGCCAGGTACAAGAGCAGCTGAGGAACGTCCAGAGCATCCACGCAACTGCCGCTGGTGCTTTTGCTGAAATTCTGGGGCTGCGGTGACAAAGGATCAATGCGAGCGAAGCATTCGGCCTAAGAGTTGCTTGTGAGTCGCACTTAAGTGAATAGACCTCTGACCACTTGGTTTCCCCTTTTGGGGTTCCCACTTGTGGCAACCCAAAAGGTGATTAGTTATTCCTCAGTTCCTAAGGGCAACTGAGACAAGTCCGAAAACCCATCCCCTGAATCATGACCTAAACTGACCCATCCAACTGGGGGCGATCAATATTACTGGCCCCAACATTCCCGCAACTGTTTATCCATTTAGTGGTGAACGTCACATTGGTGGTTTCGCTCTTCATCCCATCATCGGACCATTTGATCAGCCCCAACTGGTGATTTCATTCAGCCCTGCCAACGCCGTATGGTTCAATGCAGGGAAACAGGCAATCTTGAAAGGGGCGAGTTCTCAAGTTTTGAGACGCCTCTTGTTTTGCAGGCTGCGGAAACCCCAGAATGCGAATTCCTTTCTCCACGGAACCTCCACCGATGCACCTTTTGGTTTATTTGGTGGCAAAATAAGCTGACCAAATTCCGATCGATTGACCTGGTTCAATCATCTACCAGGGAAATGTCGTCCATTTTCCAGTTGGACACCTATGGTCTGGGGTCCATTGGGCTCGCAGCCGGGGGAAATTCCCGCGATACCAACGCGAACGAGCTTGGGAATGTCGTTACACACGTCCGGCGCCGTCTCTAGGGCCATTTGATTGGGCCCTTGGAATGGACCCCAGAACGTCAAGGGGGCATTCGACTCCGTTTGCCAGCCCAAATTCGACCTGGGTTTTGTTCTTCTTTACTGGTCATGGGCCCTCACGGGTTGCTTTGCTGCGATGTGTCCGCCTTTTTTCAGGTCAATGTCCAGAGAATTGCTGACGTCCAGCTTGAAATTTGCAGGAACAGACAAAGTGACAGTTAGACAGCCGGGTGGGGATGGTTTGAGAATTAGAAAGGATCTAGCTTTTGTTTCCAAAGATTTTAGCCAAATGTTATGTATCAGGTTCCAAGAACCTTGCTGTTTGACAGTTTGAACCCAGAAGAACCTTGCTCCCGCGCCATGAAGGTGGATGTTCACTTGCCCAATGGAGATGGTTACTCCGTCGAAGTCCAACTGGAGATGCCCATCAGCCAGCTGAAGGCTGCAGCACAGCAGCATTTCCAGCGCCGCTTGACGCTCATTGCGAAAGGCCGAAAGCTGGATTTGACCGCCACGCTAAGCGAGGCTGGGTTGCGAGATGGGGACGCAGTGGCTGCAGTTGTGCAGCTGGGCAAACTGGCTGCCACCGGAAGGGTGTTTGCTTGGCATAGCCATGGGGGCGAGGTTGTGACTTGGGGTGATCCAGACTGTGGCGGAGACAGCAGCCAGGTGCAAGAGCAGCTGAGGAACGTCCAGCACATCCAATCAACCAGCAATGCGTTTGCTGCTATTCTTGAATCTGGGCGTGTTGTCACCTATGGACATCCAGCACGTGGCGGAGACAGCAGCCCGGTGCAAGAGCAGCTGAGGAACGTCCAACACATCCAAAGAACTTTAGGTGCTTTTGCTGCCATTCTTGAATCTGGGGCTGTTGTGACCTGGGGTCGCCCACACCATGGCGGCGACAGCAGCCAGGTGCAAGAGCAGCTGAGAAATGTCCAGAGCATCCAAGCAACGGGAGGGCCCACGGAGGGCCCTTCTAGAATCTGGGGCTGTGGTGACCTGGGGTCATCGAGACTATGGCGGAGACAGCAGGCAGGTGCAAGAGCAGCTGAGGCACGTCCAGAGCATCCAAGCAACGATTGCTGCTTTTGCTGCCATTCTGGAATCTGGGGCTGTTGTGACTTGGGGTGATCCAGACTATGGCGGACACAGCAGCCAGGTGCAAGAGCAGCTGAGGAACGTTCGGAGCATCCAAGCAACAGCCGGTGCTTTTGCCGCCATTCTTGAATCTGGAACTGTTGTGACCTGGGGTGATCCAGAAGAAGGCGGAGACAGCAGGCAGGTGCAAGAACAGCTGAGAAACGTGCAGCATATCCAAGCAACAAAGCGTGCTTTTGCTGCCATTCTTGCATCTGGGCCTGTTGTCACCTGGGGTAGTCCACAACATGGCGGAGACAGCAGCCATGTGCAAGAGCAGCTGAGGAACGTCCAACACATCCAAGGAACAGCCGGTGCTTTTGCTGCCATTCTTGAATCTGGGGCTGTTGTGACCTGGGGTGATCCAGAAGAAGGCGGAGACAGCAGCCAGGTGCAAGAGCAGCTCAGGAACGTCCAGAGCATCCAAGCAACTGACCGGGCTTTTGCTGCCATTCTTCAATCAGAGGTGGTTGTGACCTGGGGTGATCCAGACTGTGGCGGAGACAGCAGCCAGGTGCAAGAGCAGCTGAGGAACGTCCAGCACATGCCAGCAACTTATCGTATTTGCTGCCATTCTTGAATCTGGGTTTGTTGTGACCTGGGGTCATCCAGACCTTGGTGGAGACAGAGCCAGGTGCAAGAGCAGCTGAGGAACGTCCAGAGCATCCACGCAACTGCGTTTCCCCTTTTCGGGTTCCCACTTGTGGCAACCCAAAAGGTTATTACCGTTTATTCGATAAACCATCCCCCGTGTAAACCATCCCCCTGAATTGGCATGACCCTAAACTGACCCATCCGACTGGGGGTGATCAACATTCCTGGCCCCAACATTGGTGAACGTCACATTAGTGTTGAACGTCACTTTTTCCATTTAGTGGTGAACGTCACATTTGTGGTTTCGCTCAGGTTCATCCCATCTTCATCGGACCTTTTGATTTCGTTAAGCCTGCCAAATTTGCTCTCCCTCCTCCCCTCCCTCCCTACCTCCCTCCCTCCCCAGCTCCCTCCCTCCCTCCCTCCCCAGCTCCCTCCCTCCCTCCCTCCCTCCCTCCCTCCCTCCCTCCCTCCCTCCCTCCCTCCCTCCCTCCCTCCCTCCCTCCCTCCCTCCCCCTCCCCTCCCTCCCCTCCCTCCCTCCCCCCCCTCCCCCTCCCTCCCTCCCTCCCTCCCCCTCCCTCCCTCCCTCCCTCCCCTCCCTCCCTCCCCTCCCCCTCCCTCCCTCCCTCCCCTCCCCCTCCCTCCCTCCCTCCCCTCTCCCTCCCTCCCTCCCCTCCCTCCCTCCCCCTCCCCCTCCCTCCCCTCCCCTCCCTCCCTCCCTCCCCCCCTCCCTCCCCTCCCCTCCCCTCCCCCCCCCTCCCCCCCCCTCCTCCCCCTCCCCCTCCCCTCCCCTCCCTCCCTCCCTCCCTCCCCCCCTCCCTCCCTCCCTCCCTCCCTCCCTCCCTGCATCTCTCCCTGCCCAGCCCAAAGCCGTGGGGTGGTTCAATGCAGGGAAACAAGCAACCTTGAAAGGGGCGAGTTCTCAAATTTTGGGTCGCCTCATTTTTGGGAGGCCGGAGAAGCGCAGAATGCGAATTCCTTTCTCCACGGAACAACCTCCACCGATGCGCCCGGCCTGGGGCATAGGTGTTTCTTTTGGTTTATTTGGCGGCAAAATTTGCCGACCACATTCCGATCGATTTACCTGGTGGTTCAACCATCTACCAGGGAAATGTCAAAGCATTTTCCAGGGACACCTACCCCTAGTCCGAATACCTTTTTATATGGTATAATGTCGACCCTCTACCAAAAAAGGAATCGGCATTTGCCTTGAAAATCCGACACCTGTTTTCCAAAAAAATGGAAACTCGAAAAAGGCGATCGAATCGGTCTTTGGAGTACCTGGAGTCTCCATGAGCCTTAAAATACCTGGGTAGTACCTGGGCCTTTGGAGGGGGCCATGGTGTCCCTCGCTGTTGACATCCTTGGGGTTTCCAGGCGAAGAGCAAGCCAGCGGTGCCCAAGATCAAGCTGGCCAAGGCGCGCGGGCTGGTGGGGGGAAGGTGTGTTTCCTTACCGCTTAAAAACACAACTGTTCAACTTATTGGGTAACATGGGCTATATGTCTGTAAAATATTAACTTCCCCAGGGCTTGGAGTTTTAAGGGGTAAGTTTCTGTCAATTGGACTTGGCTACCCCCGACTCCAAATACACACTTGCTGTACTACTAAAAAGGAGGTATTTACCCCGAAAAACCGGGTTCTCTAAAAAATACCCTAGAAAGTTGTTTTTTGGGGAAGGGGGTAGCTCCCCCCAGCTAGGTCCTTCATCTAGGTCCGCCTTTTTAAGCCCTTTTCTTGGATGGGAGGGTTCCCCTACTAAAATAGACTACAGAAAAAAGTTGGTACCCTTATTCTAACCTCTCTACTGGAAGACCTAGGTAAGGCTTGGGTGTGTGCTAAAATGCGGGGACCCTCAAATGCTGCTTTTCCCCCTTGGTTTCCTATTACAACCTGGCAAAAAGGGGGCCCACTGAAAATGACTGACCCATTCGTTGGGGTCCCGCGCGTTGGATCTTGTAAATGGTTTGTTCTGGTTCAAGGATTGTTTTGTTTCACCCCCTACTCCAAACACCCACTTTTTTCCGGGTATTTTTGGGAAAACCTGGTTTTTCAAAGTAAATACCTCCCTTTTTCGTAGAGGGTCGACATGATACCCGCAAAAAAGTGGATATTTGGCATTTGGAGTCGGGGGCATGCTTATGGCCAATCATTTGGCGACCGTGCGGAACTTGTTGCTGAGGAGGAAACAGCCCTTTCTGCAGGAGGTCTTCATTTGGCTTGCAGCTCTGAATCAACGGGCACTTTCCATTGGTAGCTGAATAGAGGCTCTCACTTGCAGTCTTTCCTTCACTGTTCTTCGCAAGTTTTGTTCTCTTCATTTTTAGTAGGGGATTGCAGAGAACAGGCAGCGATTCGCCAAGCCATACCAAGGCTTGTGAAGTCTTGATTTCGCTGTTTGGGATCCCATAATTTCGTCCAACCTTTTGTTTCTACCGGGAGTCTCCATGACCCTGCAAAAATGGTTGGTCATTCGCCAAAAAAATGGTTGGTCATGGACCCATTTTTGTTTCGGGTCATGGAGACTCCAGGTACCCCCGTAACCTCTTAAGTGTCTTGGTATTTTTTAAGAAGAACCCTTCGGTTTTGCATGGTAACTCAGAAACCTTTGCGTGGCATTTGCGTCTTGGTCTTCGGGCCTGCGGCTCGCTGGCGGGTTTGCCAATACACCTCAGGGAAAGCAACGAGCCTTTTGGTTGATTTGGTTAGAACATAGAGGGCCATTTGGTTGATTTGATTTTGGTTGATTTGGTTGATTTGGTTTTTACGTGGTAATTCAATCAACTACCACGGCCATCTCCCCCTCCAAGTACCATCTTTTCTAGGGTATGATGTCGACTAGAAAAGGAGGTATTTACCATAGAACCCCCTGTTCAAAAAATATCAACTAGAAAAAGTGGGTATTTGGAGTAGGGGGAACTAGACGGGATACAGGGGGAACCAGGGATCCGGGAGGATTGCCCCGTTTGATGCACCTTGACGAAGTTTGATATGGGAAATTGCGCCAAGGGAATCCCCCATATCCCCATATCCCCGCTCCCTCCGTGTTCGTTCCAAGCACCCGTGCTCTGAAACAGCTCACAGCCTTTTTTTTTTGCATTGGCTGAAGTGGCTAGGTTTTTTAGCTAGGTGCCAAGCCCCTTCTTTGGTTGGGGGGGTTCCCTAAAATAGACCCAAGGAGTTTTTTTGTTATAGGAAGTGAGTGATTTGTCCACCTCTCATTTTCGCACCAATTGGTTTGGTGGTTTGGCGGTTTTCAGCGGTGGCTTCCCGCTTACCCTCTCAACCAGGGGTTCCAAACCATCACACTCGGTAGGCGAAGTCGGTGCCAGATGCTCGGCCCCCAGTGACGGATGTTACGTGGGTTGCTTCCGTTGTTCAACTTTCTTTGGAGGGGTTGCCCTTCAAAATCAACTTCCACTTGGGATCCCCTTTTTTGCCGCGGCCCTTGTGCAAGCTTGCTGATTCTTCGAGCCTTCTTGGAAACTTGCTCGAACATCTAACCTGGATTTAGGAATGATTTCCCTACTGGAACCCTGGTTTTTTCTCCCATTGGTGCGAACGGATTGCACAACCATCCGCAGTCAGCTACCTGGAGCGTCCTTCGCTACCTAAATTGGCTGCCTGCCCAAACCTGGAGTCTCCCTAAGGACCGTGAAAAAATGGTTGGTCATTGCGCAAAACTTGGTGGCTCCCGAAGGCCATCCGGTCCCTTAGCTTTTTAGCCTTTTAGTGTTTAGTGGTAGTTTCCATTTAACCCGCTAAAAGTTAGTCACTTTTAGCGGGGGATCTGCGGGCAGCCCAGAAAATAACGGGGTCATGGACCCATTTTTGAAGGGTCATGGAGACTCCAGGAACGTACCTGGAGTCTCCTTCTCACCCTGAAAAAGATGGTTGGTCATGACCCAAAATAATCTCAAAAAAACGAAGGAACCGTATTTGGCCGTATGACCTTCTCTTTTTTTTCGCGCAAAGCCCTTTCACAAAAAAGGGTAGTGTTTGGGCCCCAAGAAGACTCAGGTAGTGCAAAACCAAGGGTCGAAGGCGCTCAAAGCTTCAGTTGTTTTTTGCTGGGTGGACTCCCGTTTTGGGGGTGGTCTTTTAAAGGGAAGCCAAAAGGAAGCTACACATTTTTTTGTGGTCCGCATATATATATATATATATATACACATTAATATTTACCCCTCCCCATGTAAAATTGTGTTGGTCAAATGGCCCCATTTGTTTTGGTCGAACAAATTCGTGCCTGGAACCCCGAACGGCCACACCCACCTGGAACCCCAAATGCACCTTTTGACCAAAAAGAACAGCCTTTCGCGGCTCCTGATGGGTTCAGTTTTAGCTTCTATCACAGCGCATTGGAGCCGTGGGGATGCAGCTTAGCCACGTGGCTCGTCTTTCTTTGGGGGGTCCCGGGACCCAAAGCGACAATTGAGCCACGTGCTCAAAACCCGGGTATCGATGATCCGGTTAGTAAGGGGCGATCCCAGCGATACATAGTTGCGGATATCCGCCTTAGTTCTTGAAGCATGGTTCTGGGGGCGACCATTTTTTCCACCAGGTTTTGATTGTTACTCAATTGTGGTTTTCCGGTTGGTTTCCCTTCAAAACCCAACAAGGGTTCCCAAAAAAGGGTTCCCGAGCCACCCATATGTTTGCCCGGTTTCCCTTTCGGTTAAAAGGAAGCCTTTACTCCTTGCTCTGGGCTGTGTAAGGAACCGCTTCCCCTAACAATGGATCTCCCTAAAACAGATGATGCGCCCCCAAATCGGAGGGATGTTGCCACGGCAGATAGAAGTGTAACTTCCCACGACCATGAGTGAGAGTGATCAGAGGGAACTGGTCGTGCTTCGGTTGGTTCCAATAAGACGGATCCTAAACTCTCTTCCACAATCTGTGAAGATCTTTGGATAGCTTGGGAAGGTCGTTTTGGTGGTAAATGAAACGTCCAGCTCTTGTTTCTGACCAATCCAATCCGGCGCAAGTGAGTGGTGTGTTTTTTGCCCCGCTCAAGCAACATGTCTAGAGGTGGATATATCAACAAGAAGGGTGCGGAAGGCGTTTTCCCGCCGAAGCTCACGTAGAGCCTAGGGGACGGGGTGGATTGCTCTTAGCAGCTCGTGCGCACGAATTCCCTACCCGGAAGGCTTCGCGGAAGGGGCTTGCCCATACGTCCCTTTAAACATGGTGGTCATGACCCAAAATGGTTGGTCGACCCATGTTTAAAGGGTCCTTAGAAAAACTCCAGGTACAAGCCCACCACTCAACTGAGGTCTGCTGGAAAGCATTCATGTATTGATTGAGGCAGCTCCGTTTGAACCCAAACATGTTTGTGCGGCAAACATGAGCATGGACAGTTGAGTCACAAGCAAAGAGTTTGGATGACGTTTGTTGGACGCGCCTTTTGTGGATTCCCCCTGTTCTTCTCCGTGTTGGTCCTGTTTGGTAGTCTTTTAGTGCTCCGTTAATTCCTGCAGGGGTAGATCCACGACCCAGCCGTCCCGTTAGATTTTTAGGTTTGTATTGTTTGTTGGTTGGGTGTCCGAATTTAATCCAAAGTGATTCACTTTAGGGGATCTGACCACGGACAGCCCAGATGATTCAACCCCTGTTTAGTTTCATACATTGGTTTTTGGCTCCTCAAGTGTACTAAACCAGAGGTGAATCAATCTCTGGTAATTTTGACTCTCCAAGATTACGGACAGATGAATCAACCCCTCCACCTGTTTAGTTTCATTCCTGGGGTGGTAATTTTGGCCCCACCCAAAAGTGGACTCTGATTCCAAGCTTCAGTTGTTGAGTGGCTCCCTTTTTCCATTTTTTTTTTGGTGGCTGCCCCACTAAAATGGTCCAAGCCCAAAAAAGGGTTCCCTTTTTTTCCAGGGTCACTGAACAACTGAGAACCCAGACATGGACCACCCCCCCCGTTGGCCCCCGCCTCGTTGGAGGCGAAGGCTCAGGGCCTCCGCGCCAGGCCCGAAGCAAAGAGATCCCCGGGGCCGGAAGCGGAGAATTTCACGCTGAGGGGTTCCTCAAATTGGTCTTCTAGGTCCCCTTCCTCTTGCGGAAAACCTCATGGTGGTGGGAAATAGCCCTTTCTGCACCAAAGTTGCCAATCCACATGACAGCTAGGTGCCCTTTGACCTCTTTTTGGGGGAGGATTCCCCTCCTAAACTAGACTAATAGACGAATCTCTCTACAGGAAGAGATCCCGGTGGCGCTGGCGTAAGCTCAAAAAATTCCGGCTGGGGGGTTACCCAGGTTTTAGTCTTTGTTCCCTTTTTGCCAGGTGCCATGTTTGGTGTACCAGTTTTTGAGCCACGGCCAAATGGTAGCGAAAGTTTGATAGCGGCGACATGGTTTTTCAGAGGCGGCGCAGTTAGATCATCTTCGGCGTTTAGGACATGGCTTACATGGGGGGACCTCAAAGATTGGGAAGAAGAAGAAAAATAAGCAACATCTGTGTGGTGTCGCGTTCTTTGTTGCCCAGTGGTGCCCTTTTTTTTCTCATTCTTTTGGGGGGAAGGGTTCCCCTTTTAAACTCAACCGGAAATCCACTGGGTATCTGAGCTTTAGACAAACTTCAAAGGAGTCACACAATCTTCATAAAAGCTTTCGGGCTCACTGGCCCGAAGCGTCCGGGTTTTTTCTATTTGTCCCCTTGTCGGGTTCAATCCCATTTTCTTGCGCGGTGGGGAAGAACAGCGAGACCGGGTGTTGGTTGAACGAACCGGTTTTGGGGAAATCCCGAAGAAAGGAAAGCATAGTTTTTTTTGGGGAGGGGGTCCTTCCATTTCAAGGAAGCCATAGGGAAGTTCTTTTTTTGGGTCCTTCCATTTCTCCTTCCGCTGCCTATCGCCCCGATCGCAAGTTGCACGGGTCCAGGTCGTATTTTATTTCTGGGTCCCATCCGGGGCAAGCGGTAAAGAGGGTCAGTAGGTAAAGCCCAGACCAGAAGCTTCCGAGGCTTATCCAATGTGGTGCTTTGGGAAACGCCCCGAAACCTCCAAAGCCCCGGCCCTTTTCTGGGCGTGCAGGGAACTCGTTCCGGGGTTGTTGGTGGAGGATACCAACTGGCCATCCCCCTGCTTCAAATACCAACTCTTTGTTTAAAATGTCGACCCTCTACTATAGGGATGGGTATTTTCCGAGGAAACCCGATCGGTTTTTACACAGAGGAGGGCCGAACCTGGTGGACATCGGGAAGTCGGTGGGTCCCGATTCATGTCTACCACTTGCGAGGTGGGCCCTATTGAAGCTCATGCGAAATAGAAATGACCACAACGCTAATGCAGTAACATAACCCTTACATAAGTTTTTGGGTTGGACCTTTCGTTTTAGCGCATGCTGGTGGAGGTGGCGCATTTCAAGCCCTCTTTCAAACAATCATAGGAATTGAGAAAACAGCTTGGGACGATCACGTGTCTTTTTTGGAACTTGCCCTCTCCCATGCTTGGTGTGTGTGTGTGTGTGTGTGTGGCCCCCCTGTTCCTAAGGGGTTCTGCGGTCGTGCTTTTTTCTCTTTATTGGAGTCGGACGCCACCTTCATTCATGTCCTGGCATGCAGTAGCCAGATTGGCCGTTGGCGTCCCTGAAGAGGAAGGCCAATCTAGGCGAACAATGTTCAGGCATGTGTGAAGCCGAAACTCCATTGCCCTGCCGGAGACCTTCAAACAGCCTGTACCTGCATGGTGGTGCACATTGTCAGCTTTTGCCGTCTCATATCAAGTGTGTTTAGGCACTGCGTCCGGGCTTCGGTCAGTGTCTTGATCCCTGTTGTGGGCATCTGTTCCGACTCATGCTCAGACATTTTCTACAGACTGTTACCGGACCTTGTCGCTCGTGACGCTTGACTGTTCCAGCTGATCTTATCAATGCAGGCTTGGACCTCTCCCAGACCTTCCGGCACCCCAGACTGTTTCCGTGAACCGTTTCTGTCAGACCAACTGTTTGACAACCAATCCGACTACCCGACACATCAGGTGGAAAATCACGACGCCGTCAGCTTGGTCTTGGCTCGCAATTGTTGGCACTAGATGTCTCGCCCCCACGCAGGTCCGATGTCGAACTCGGCAGGCCCCATGGCCAAGGCATCCAGGAACACTGCCGGCCCTACGCCGCCCAGGTCTCCGGTGCACCAGTCAGCATCACCGAGCAGGAGTACGCTTGTGACACCAGCTTCGAGGATATCTTGCGAGGTGTCCAACGCCTCAAGGGCTGCCAAAGCAGCGGTCCCGGCTCTTGCTCCCAGTGACGCATCGGCATCGGTCCCTACCTTGGAGGTCTGGCCTGCATTTGTAGCTGGCCCACTGCCACAAATTCTGGTGAAAGCACGCCCGGCCACACCGATGACACCAATGACTCCGATGACGCCAACTACCCCGACAGTTTCAACTACAGCATGCCCACCTATGCCCACAGCACCGACCCCTATCACACCGATCCCTACGGCAACCCCATCAGGTCAGATGCTTCCACCGCCCAACCCACCATCCAGATCACGCCACACGACGGAGGGAGACCGGTCACGTTCCCACAACGCTTCCCCCTACTCCAAGTCAGTGCCCCCACAGCGGCGAGGCCGAGCTCGCTCCCGGACGCCACCTCCGATCTCCCGAAGGGACTCAACATCGGACAACACCGTGACGGAAGCATCGAATGCTACCGCGCCGGCGCCCACAGCAGCCAAGTCCTCATCCCGGGCACCTACGGCAACTAAAGCTTCATCCCGACGACCGAGGAGCAATCGATCTCCCCTTCCGCGTAGCAGAAGCAGTGCCCCGTCAGCTCCAGCCTCCAAGGCCGCAGGAGCTCGCCCGGATGTGGGGTCGTCCTCGAGGAGCATGCAACTACGCCCCAATCCACAGGCACATCCACCGCTGGTCTTGCTTCCCAATCCGGAGTCTGATCCCTGGAGGAACGAACTTCAGGTGCTGGCCGCACCATATCTTCGCGATGGGATCCCAGTCAATCAGGAGCAGATGAGCTATGTGGCCGCGACCTTGAATGCAGCAGGCATACCGTCTCAGCACTCCACCCTGAACTATGCGAAGGTCAACCCGGATCATCATTTTTATAAGATCACCCCGCACTGGTTCATGCTGACAGTCCCTTATCTTGGGGCCACAGTCCGGCTCAAAGAACCGACGAAGACGCGACCCATGCTGCTCTGGACTCACGCTTCCAGTGTTGGAGGTACTCGCGGCATCCTGCGGAGCCGACAGATCCATCCTTCCCGGCAGCACTCCTCGGAGTGCCCAGCCTTTTATGCCCAGGGCTGGAAGATCACTGGACACGCCGACTACGACGCTGAAGAAATCGCTCGCACGATGAGCCAGAACTGGAGCATGTCTTTTAACATGGCTCAATTGCTGTTGTTCGGACGCGCTGTTGGCACCTGTCAGCCGATTCGATCGGGAGGAGAGCAAGCTTGCATTGAGGCCCTGGACTCCAGTGAACGTCCTGATGTCATCCACTATGTGTCGGGCAAGTGTTGGATGGTGATCCCGGAGGCAAGCCAGATCGTTGGACTCGCATGGCCCACCGATGCAAAGCCACCCACTGGTGTCCTCCGCTCGTGAACCTGCACCAGGAGCTGTTGTAGCCAATGACAATTAATGATGTTTCATTGCGAATAAGAGCATACTTCGCCACACTGCCGTCTTCGACTACCGACGATATTTTGCGACAAAAAGTGCATGCCAGAGCCTGATCCGAGTATGTGCTGACCTTACTGCAGGGTTTCCTTTTTTGAAGCTTTGTGTAACTAATGCGGTTTTCTGGTCGCTCACCACCCCGGGCCCGGTCGGAATTCGGGTGTCGTTTTGGCATGGTTGTTGTTTCGGAAATGTGTGGCGTACCCCTAGCGTTTAACCCATTAGCAGTGTGGGCGGCAACCTCCTATCTCGTGATGGCTTCTCCGTGGAGCTATTCATGGCCGGCGACATCGGCACCTTCTTCCTCTTCGCATCCGGGATCCTCGTATCTACCGTCATGGTCATTTCCGCAGTCCCAGCAGAAGGCATATCTCAGCCCCAATCGGACGGAACCTTCGCAACATCAACTTCGCGAAGAAGCACCGTCCCGAGTCAATCCCCCTCGGCCCCCACAGATGGCTCATCAGTTTCCTCCTCAACCACCCGGTCAATTTTACAACTATCACGGTGGTGGAACAAGCCACATGCAGACAGGTCCTCGTCCTCCACCACCCGCACCGCCAGTTCAACCTCCAGTTCGGGCACCTCTAGGCCAGGGTGATACAACGCAATACACTCAGCCTCGATATTCGCAGCTACTTCCCAGCACCTTCCAATCTGACGACATCTTCCTAGACAAGACGGAGGTCCGTGGTCTGCAGCTGTACCGTCACGTTCAGCCCACTCAGTGGTCCAGAAGAGTTGGGCTCGCAGGAACAGCCATCCTGGATCTTCCACTCACGCGACTTCTTCGAGGAGGAGCAGAAGATCACGCATTACGAGCACTATCAAATGGCCGCTACAGCACACCAGTCATGGCTCAGACGATAGCCGAGGCAGTCTTATTGACATCCATTCTCAAAGCATTGAGAGGCGACATTGACAGGACAGCTCGCTCTCTCCACGTGGACAATGCGCCAGATAAGCGCAATGAGGCCATGCAGTTTATGGAGCCACTTGCAATCAAAATCGTGGATCTCATGGAGTCCTTGCAGCCCGCCAAGCAGGAGAACCTCACTCGCCACAAAATTGCCGAATTAGAGCAACAGCTGGAGCGCTACAAGAGCAAGGGCATCACTCTTACACCAGATAAGAAGCTGCCGTCCTCGTCCCCTTCCAATGCCGCGTCCTGGACCCCCACGCCCGGCCGCTCCGACCAGTCTCTCTACATCAATGCGGCCAACTCGGATCAGTCAGGGCCTCCCCTACCAGTTCCATCTCCAGAGGCTGATCCAGCCCCTAAGCGACGACCAGCAGAGAGAAAGACCCCGGCGGCTCC